ATATTAGATCTATTATTATTGTTTTGAGTACAAAATCCGAATATTTAGAATAAAGCTTATTTGTGCCTTTGATGCTACTTTCTAATGATGAATAGTTATAATATTAGCTAATGATGAAAAGTTGGAATTTTGACAAAATTTATCAAAATCTCGAAAATTATCAATCATTGTAATTAATAAATTATAAAATGTTCAGTTTTTATAGCTAAGGATTACAAATTCAACACAAAGGTTCTCATAAATAGTTCATACTATAACCAAAAAATCTAAAAAATATATGAACACACTTATTTTTTACAGACATGTTAAATTCAAATTTGGACGAAATTACATATTAAAAAACCTAGAATAACTATTTTAGTTATTTTGTTGTGATTGAATAATATTATTCGTGGGTACTTGAAACTTCTAAAGTGTACTATTATATATCTATGATAGTATCACGGTTTTTGTTGATGTATAACGCGTTAAAAGTATCTAATGGATATTGTGATATGATTAATTTGGAATTTATTATAGGTACCTATTATAGGTCAATTTTTTGTTTAATACCATAGATATGTATATAATATGTCTTATACATAGACTGACATACCGTCACCGCTCAGAATCGTTTTTCTTATACAATGATATTATATCATTGAATTCAAATTTAATACCATCCATTATACAGTGACCCACTTGTAACCTACTGTACAGCAGAGCGACACCCACTTGCCCACCTTTTTTTTGTTATTTTTTTTTGTGTCTGTCATCATCTTTTAGGACAGTAAAAGTGCTTGGATTTTCATCAACATTATCTTTTCTGATAGGAAAGTGAATAAAGTTGGTACTTTGGTGAGTCAAAAGCAAAAACTTCCCAGTAGTTTTCAAAAGCGCCGTGAAAAGCAAAAGAAAAATTAAGAAAAAACGGGAATTTCTACTCAAAATCTGTTTTCGAGAAAATTGATTTTAGTTTTTAGTGTAACTTTAAAACAAATGACCGTAGATATATGAAATTTTCACTGGTTATTTATATTTCCATTTTATATACATGATAAAATTTTCTAAATATTTTGAGTTATGTTGAGCTTTTTACGGACATTTTTAGTTTCCATTTTTTTTAGTTTCTTTTTCTATAAGTATCAATAAAATGTTATTTGTTGGGTATAAAAGCTTAAAAATTGAATAGAGGCTCCTAATATATTGTTTAAAAGACAGATGAAAAAAATTAAAAATCCTTATTCACAGTTTTTTGTTATAAGGATTTAAATTCCAAATATTGACAAAATACGTGAAAATGACGAAAAATTATTTCGAGTTAGAAATTCATAAAAAATGTTCTTTTTAAATCTAAGATATGAAAATGTAATGCAAGATTCCTAATAAGTTTGTCCACCTTTATCAAAAAAAAAATGTCTAAAATAATCTCAAATTAAATTTTTATGAACGTTTGAAATTCATATTTTTACAACATTTGATATTCACTCGATTTCTCATGTAACGATTTTCTAATTTTGTTGTAATTAAAAAACCAATGACTGTAGATACTTGAAAATTTTACTAAATGTTTATATTAGCATTTCTTATACACCATATAGTTTTGAAATTATTTTGATTCTTTTTGAGCTATTTACGGACATTTTCAGTTTTCAATTTTTTGAATTGTTTTTTCTATAAATATCAATAAAATTTTATTTGTTGGGTAAAAAAGCTTGAAAATTTAATGCAAAGCTCCTGATATATTGTTACAATAACACTTAAAAAATATTAAAAATACATAATCACAATTTTTTTTATAAGCATTTAAAGTTCGAATTTTGACAAAATTTATCACATTTAAAATTTAATAATAATTTTATAGTTAAAAATTTATAAAATGTTCAACTTTTATAGCTATAATGATTGAAAATTTAAAACAAGATTCTACGTAAATAGGTTATATATAAATTTCTTTATTCAAATTAGTATCATCAAATATACTTAGTAATATCATAGGCTGACTAACCGTCTTCGCTCAGAATCGTTTTTCTTATACAATGATGTTATATCATTGAATTCAAATTTAATACCATCCATTAAACAGTGACCCACTTGTAGATTACTGTACAGCAGAGCACCTTTGTTTGTTTATCAAACTTAAATAACTTTTATTTCGGTTCCGTTATCGGAAATATAAAAACAAAGTTACACAGTAAATTTTCTCATTTTTATCGTGTGAAAATTTAGTTCCTTAGCTTAGAGTACAGCCTGAATGTTTTTTATACCCATGCAAAACAGTTTTGCCTATGTTGTACCTACGTTTGTAATACGGAGACAACACATGTGGGTGTACCTAGCGTCTTCTTTACAATCATACAGACTATTTGATACATTGATACATTAACTTTAGATATTATTGTATATACACTATACAAATTAAATCTAATGCAATGCAGAAATATTAGGATTTAGGGGGTGTGGGGGGCAAAGCCCCCCACGGATCTGTGAACCATAAATTATGCCAGCACCCCCTAAATTCACACCCAATGTGCGCCTATGCAGAAGAGTGACATCCACTTTTCCACCTTTTTATTGGTGTTATAAATATTATACTGTACTTACAAAAGTCTATAAATTATTTAAAATAAATATTTAAATGATTAGTACAAAAGTTACCTATTCAATTTGTCGAGTGATTCTGTTATATTTACATCGTGTATAAGTTCATAAATCATAAGTACAACTAGAGTAAAAAAAATTGCCCTAAAACACCTAAGACCGCTAATAAACTTGGAATAGTGGGCCGGACCCGTCCCAGTCCGCCCCTGTTATATTATATATATACATGTATACATATGTAACCTAACCTATATTATATATATACATGTATACATGTACCTATTTAATATATAAGACACCACAGAGTGTACCGTAAACGATCTAGTCGGATCAGCAGTGTTGTTCAATTATAAATAATAAGAATAATATCACGATACACGATAAAATGACAGTCAAAAATATATTATTTAGATAAGCGGATACCGGTACACACGTCCACAGGTTATATGGACTGTACACTGTAAATGTTATAATTTATATAGGAAACTCGCGTTAAGTACCTACCTATATAGGTATATTATATATTATTATTATTATTGTTCCGCCGCTGTCGCTTTCAGATTGCGACACCAATTTATAATAACAACCGCGCGAGTTTAGCCGACCGTGTCTTCCTGTGCAGGTCCGTAGGTAATTGTGTACAACAATATAATAAATTTTGCTCGTATAAACGCGTAGGTAACCTATAACTACCAAAACAGTGCACGGGGTAAACCACCGCGTTTGACCACGTCGTTATCTATACTTGTAAGTTGTAAGTATACTGCCGTACTGGTAATATCGTTATGTATTATTTGGTTTGCCTACAATAAAAATCTTACAGTGTTTAGTCGAACATTTTAGACGGCCAGTTTAATTATCATAATAATATATAGACATACAGTATATTTACAGGGTATCCATAAAAATAAAATTTAAAAACGGGAAATTTAAAAAAAAAAAACAAATAAATGTGAATTTTAACTCGTCTAAGTGTCAATCCATTATCATTTTTCAAGTATTATAAAATAGATCAATACTTTGTTTTCATCATAAACCATATTATTATTTACTTTTGCTTTTACATAATTTAAAAGCGATAAAATATTTGATGTAATTTCTACATTATTAGAATTTTTACTATATTTTATTTTACTTTTCCGACGTCACATACCTACTGATATGAGCTCAGAATTAAGATTAAAATAACGAATTAAAACGAGTACGATGTTCAGGTTTTTATGCTTAGAAGTAACCTCGATTGTTCAAAAAATCATATGGTTTCTAATTCTTTACAAATCTTTTGTGTTAACTTTTCAATAGTAGATATAATTAATTTCTATCGTACCCCGTGGTGCATTTCAATTCCCTATAACAATTTTCCAGTACCCATTTATATGTATATTTATAGTACATACCTGATCCCTAAGCTCCGTGTCCACCCCAAATTTGAATTTCGAAACAAAATTAACTCGTTTGTGTAATTCGTTTGTGCTTTTAATCCCGTAGTTTGTGCTCCATCCCTCCCCAAGTCATCCAACTATCAAAGTGATGGAATAGGAGACATGCTTATAGCTCACCACCTCAACTGGCATATTACATATACATACACGTCATAACTACAAACTACAGGGCGAACAGGACGTCGAGGAAACGCACCTTGTACGCTATAGTAAATCCATAGAAATAAAACATGTAATACTTATGTGTACTACGATTATGAAAATGATCCATCGCCTTTGGAAACTACGGCTCGGAGCGGTGTTGTACGATTGAGAACGTTTTACCTTTTTAGCAACACGATTGAGAACGATGTCGGCAGATCAAAGAAACAATATTTTGTACCTTAAAATCAAACGATTGAGAACGATTTTTCTAGCGACGTTGCCATTTATTGGATTTTGATGCAAATGCATCTTTTTTTGGTGTTATGAAACGTTGTTTTGTAAGTATAAAATGTGTAAGCTGATTTTTTTTTTGTATTTTTTGGCCATTTTTCACAATTTTTTTTATAAAATGTACGACAATTCTTGCGATTAACAAGAGCCATTCGGCACACTGTCGACGGTTAATAATAAATTATATAACATAGCATATCACCGATAAAAATTTTATCATGGCTAGGCTTTTCCGCTCAAACTATTGCCGTTATATATACCTATATACCATACATATATACATAGGTACAAGTTATCGTCGATAACAACAGCTAGGCACCTAGGCCTCGATAAGTATTACTGAATTAGTAACCAATTAGTACGTCCAGAACTAAACAAGTAACAATACTAAATACGATAACGATATGTACACTGTACGTATCTGCAGATATTCAACTGTAAATAATTATTAATATTGCCAAATTCAGTTGTTGTTCGTGGTGGACAGTGCGGTAACAACGTGTAATAGTGTACCTATAATAGTGTAGGTAATAGTGGTTTATAATGGAAAACTTTAAAATTATTACGTCTGAACGCGGAAAAGAGCTTGTATTATTAAATAATGATAAATATTCATATGTAAGGACACGCAAAGATGGATTAATGAAATGGAAATGTTCCAATAACAGTTGTAGTGCCAGTTTATTAACAAAAATAGACAACTTTCCATTCGTCAAATGGTAAACATGTAAATCATGCAAGTAATAACAACGAAAAAATTGAAAGACAGATTTTGAGGGAAAATTGTAAGCGAAAAGCTGAAGAAAATACATCGACAAGACCGTTAAAAATTATTAGAACAGAGTTATTAAACAGTGACTTACCAAATATTATGAACAATGATATTACATCAGTACGAAAGGCGATTTATGATAAAAAAAGAAAACAGTATCCAATTTATCCTACTTCTTTAAATGAAGCTATATCCCAATTAAAAAATATACAAAATAATGATTTATGTATGTTTAAAAGTGAACAATTTGTTTTTGTTCCTGAAACAAATGACTTCGTTTGTATAACAACTAGCCAAAATTTAAATTTTATGTCGAAACAAACCGATTTTTTTGGAGACGGTACATACGATATTGCACCAAAATTTTTCTTACAACTATATACATTACACACATACGTGAATGGTTTTTACGTGCCTGTTGCTTATTTTTTTTTACCAAACAAAACAAAACAAATTTACATTATAATGTGGAAGTATCTTTTGCAAATATGTCCGGCTCTAAACGTTAAAAAGCTGCATCTCGACTTCGAAATTGGTGCTCACGAAGCAGTCAAAGAAATTTTTCCCAATGTCATTATCGAAACTTGCCGTTTTTATATAGCCCAAGCTTGGTGGAGACTGGAGAAAGGTAAGAAATATGATAATTTTGGATTTTCACTCTAATTAATAACATTCATATTTTATATTATCTGTATGACAGATAAACGGAGAATCAAAGTTGAGAAGTGCATACAAAGACAACAATGACGAATTAGGTCAATGGCTTAAATTATTTTTGGGTTTGCCTTTTCTACTTCCCACTGATGTCGATGATGCGTTTACAAAACTTATGGCAATATGTCCAGACTTAGAAGTTGGGAGTTTATTTTCAGACTACGTGTTAAACACATGCATTGAAGATGATTCGCTATTTCCTCCTATTCTTTGGGCTCAAGTACCGTCATTAAACCCAAGGTACTTAATAATATAATAATAATATATATAATAATAATAATGTATTCTATAGTTATTTGTAATTATATTTATCTGCTTTTATTTAGTCTGCATGTTTAAAGTAATTTATTATTTTATTTTTAAGAACCACCAATGGAGCAGAAAGTTTTCACAGAACTTATAATGGACAATTTTACAGCACACATCCTCCTACACATGCAGTAATTTCTATTTTAAAGGAGACCCAAACACAAACCGTGGCAATAATCAACTCCATTGAAAATAATATTACAAAAACCATGGCCAGCAAAGATTATAATCGTATTATTTCAACAATTAATTTATATAAAGAGTTTGAACAAAATAAGGACATTATAAGGTATTTAAAATTAACCGGAAATAAGTACTTAGGAAAAAAATATTGATTTTTTAAATTTTTAATCCTAAGCTGACAAATAAAATATATAAATATATTGTAAATAAATTTAAATTTTTTTAATTTTTTATCTTAAGCTGACAAATATGTTGTATATAAATATAATTTTTTTTTTACTTTTAATCTTAAAAAATGGATATCTTATATATATTGTATATTGTATTTTTATTATTTTTATTTTTTATTAATGTGGCAACGTTGCATAAAAGTTAGCAGGTAAGAACGTTCTCAATCGTGCTATTAAAAAAGGTACGGCCGATAAGGACCGTTCTCAATCGTGTTCTACCCGCTCGGAGTGTGTTTAAATATTATAATTAGGACACGGATGATGTTGCATTTGCAACTTTTTTTCTAATTTTTCAATTAATTGCTAAGTAAGTTCTAAATACATATACGTTTCATGTAAGTACGAATTCAAATCTAAAAGTTTTAAGTGCAATTTTTTGCAATTTTTGGGATTTTTTCAATTTTATTGCAATTTTGTCGAATTTACTCATTTATACAACTATTTTAGCCATATTAAAACTTATATATGACTTAAAACCATTATTAAAATCAATGATATTATACTAACTGGACAAAGAAAATCGTTCGATGGTTTACCCGATTACCCGAAGACTTAACAGTAAGCGATTTATCTAATTATTTTAAATACGCTCCGCTTACATCAACCGACGTAGAATGAAGTTTTTCGAGATATAAGAACTAACTAGCTCCAAATCGAAGAGGGTTTGATTTCAAAAATTTAAAACAAACACTTATAGTACAGTGCATGATGTATAATAAAATAAATTTATAATGGCATGATTTTAATGTAATATATATATTTTTTTTTGAATTGTTTAGAATTTTAGATTATAATTTATAACAGTAAACTTAAAACATTTATAACAAAACGTTGTTATTTTTTAGTGCAATTTTTAATATTTTAAGTGCAATTTTTGGTATTTTTTAGTGCAATACTGCAATCAATTTTACTATTTTTTTAGTACTACAACATCCGTGCCCTAATTATAATATTATGGACGCGATGTATGCTGAAGTGGCTGAGCAGTGTGCTTGTATTGTGTGTCCATAAAATATTAAAAATAGGTACCTACGTCGGAAAAAATGAATTCGCCTCCTCCGAGACTTTAACGGATTTCCACATATACGTCACGCGTCTCTATAATTTCGTAGTTTATATCTCGCAACGATGCGCTGCACCACATAATATATATTATCATAGTCATATCATACGCGTTCAACTGGCGTGTTTAACGGTTTACTCCGATCGTAATGTTTTTGAAAAATGTTTTAAAGGGCCCGCCTGTTAAAAAGATGTCGAGTAGGTATATATCTACCCTAACTACCGCCTGTCTGCCGCCCTCGCCTAACCCGAAAAAATAAAAATTCTTTTCTTAGCGCGGGAAACGGCCCCACGTTTATGTGCACAGCGTAAATGTTTTAAAAGTTGAATATTATCGATTTCCCTATTCGTGTGTTTTATACTCCACTGCAAAGCGGGTATAATGTTATGACGTATGATGGGTACTATACAAATATATGACATATGAGCACAATAAATAATACTTATTCCCAGGTTTTTACACAGCATTTATTAGTACAAACACACTGCTCGCGAGCTATGATGACTGATGAGATACGCTCATTATATTACATAAATATATATAGAGTTTCGAGGATGACAGTTTAAAAAAGAGGTACCTATATATACATAAGAATATACAATATATAATATTATATTCCGCTTTCTAAACCGTTGTGCGTATTTAATGATATATTTCGCACGCCGCGGTGCCTATAATATCTCCATCATGGGATTCGTTTCCCACACGTTTCTCGATTTTTTCGCCATAAATCGACCCTAACGTGCACAATATTGCGCAGCGAACATTATAGCTGCTGCGGGAAGAAATAATAATATCCGTTGAGGTACACTATTACTGCAGAGCGGGCACGCATAATATATAATGCGATGTTGCTGTATACGATTTCCCTCGACGCCGACGAGATTCGGCAAAAAAAGTATTTCGGATTTTTTCGTGTTACATATAATATAATAGTTTAATACGCTATACAAGTACCTATACATATATAATGATGATGTAAAGTGATATCATATATTGGGGGACCTACCTATACGGTTTTGGTATTTTTTCCAATCAAAATCATTCGCTCGCGTGCGCACACGCACATGTACGCACGTGATACGAGCAAAAATGATTAAACGACAAAATAAATAAAATTAAACGTATACGAAACGTAATATTATTATATGAAACCGTCGAAAAAGAAAATCGCGTTGACGTCGTTCGTCGCAATCGATTACACGTAGGTAACGTATAGTACAATATAATATAGCTCATATAACCAGCCTAACCTAGTATGCTATGACATAGTATATAATAAAATGTAAAATAATAACAAATAAAGACGACTGTGAGTACTTAAAATATTGGCCGTATCTGCACTTCTATACATATAATATAATGTACAGGGGCACAGGGTGCAGCACTTACCGGTTCCATTCAAGGTTCTATATATTATTATATATTTTATAGCTTCCCGAACTTAAAAACTCGCACATACACTGCAGTTGCATAACTAAATGTTTAAATTAGTAATATTTTAATAATATTGTACGACTTAATTATTGATACAATAGAAGGTGTAAAATATTAAAAATCTTAATCACAATTTATTTTATAAGTATTTAAAGTTCAAATCTTGACACATTACGGAAAAATCACGAAAATTAGCAAATTATTTTGAGTTGCGAATTCGTCATAACTTTTCTTTTTAAATCCAAGATTTGAAAATGTAATACAAGATTAGTCATAAGTTTATCTACTTTTATCAAAAAAAAAAATGTCTACAAGCAAATCAAATTAAATGTTTATGAACGTTTGAAATTCAAATTCTTACAACATTGGATATTCAATCGATTTCTCATGTAGCAATTCCTTTATTTTGTTGTAATTCAAAAATGAATAACTGTAGATACATGAAAATTTCACTGAATATTTATATTAGCATTTCCTATACACCCTACAATTTGGAAAATATTGTGACTCTTTTTGAGTTGTTTACGGACATTTTCATTTTTCAATTTTTTTAGTTATTTTTTTCTATAAATATCAATAAAGTTTTATCTGTTGGGCCAAAAAGTGTAAAAATTTAATACAAGGCTACTGATATATTGCTAAAATATCAGTTGAAAAATATTAAAAATACATCGGCACATTTTTTTTTATAAGCATTTAAAGATCGAATTTTGCCAAAATTACATACGAAATTACATATTAAAAAACCTAGAATAACTACTTTAGTTATTTTGTTGTAATTGTATAATATTATTCGTGGGTACTTGAAACTTCAAAAGTATACTATCTAATATATAAAAATCTCGTGTCACAATATTATTGTTACCAAACTCCTCCGAAACGGCTGGACCGATTTTCATGAAATTTGTTGTGTATATTAAGTAGGTCTCAGAGAGTGATGTAAACTATTTTTCATACCCCTGGGTGTAAAGGGTGGCTCACCACAAATATTTTTTAATATTTACCATGGAAATTAATAATAATAATAATATTAATAATAATAATGCAAATCAACAAACATTCCCGATTAACCAATAGCAACCAATATATAATACACTATTTTTATTTTTGTAATAATATTATTTTTATTTTTTTCTGGACAACTCTTATCTCTAAGGGGTATAGAAAATAGATAGTAGCCGATTCTCAGACCTACTGAATATGCATATAAAGTTTCATAAAAATCGGTCAAGCCGTTTCGGAGGAGTATGGTAACTAAAATTGTGACACGAGAATTTTATATGTTAGATATATACATATATATAAATAAATGTTTCTCAGACCTCTGGGAAGAAGATGGGCTAATTTAAAAAGGGTTAAATTTGGTTTTTTTTATTCATCTGATATTTGTACGGTTAGGTCAGGTTAGGATTTTGTATTAATTGATTATATTAATCCAATTTAGGTGGAATTAAGTAAAAACATCAAACTTGGTATAACTTTGATACTTTAGAGTTAAGTCATACACTTATTACAAACAGCACGAGCACGGGGTCCGCGATCTACCGCAGGTAGATTGCCTACCTGATAATATAATACTTCGAATCAGAATTTTTATTCCGGACAACAGAAAAGTTCAGAGTAATCTAGAATATCATACACCTGAACAAAGTTTGAGTCATAAACAATTTGTACATTTAACGGGTAATGAAGTGCACGGGATCAGCTACCTAGTTATATATATAATATATATATATGATATTATGATAGTATCAGGGTTTGTTGTTGATGTATAACGCCTTATAAGTACCTAATAGATATTATGATATGATTAATTTGGAATTTATTATAGGTACCTATTTTAGGTAAATTTTTTTAATACGATAGATAAGTATATATAATACGTCTTATACCTAGACTGACATACCGTCTCCGCTCAGAATCGTTTTTCTTATACAATGATATTATATCGTTGAATTCAAATTTAATATCATCCATTAGTCAGTGACCCACTTGTAACCTACTGTACAGCAGTGCGACACCCACTTGCCCACATTTTTAGATTCTGAGTGAAAAAGATGCTAAGTTCACGGGAAGTACCCTGTAGGTTTTGATTCCCGTGCGAGTTTCGAAAATTTGCGGAAATTTGCGGCCTAAATGGCTGTATCTTTTGATTGCGTTGGCTTAGAAAGTTGATTTTTCTACAGCTTCCAGGGACATTAGAACTGAGTATCATATAGAAATTTCAGTTTGATACCTCCACGCGTTCCTGAGAAAAACGGTCTTGACAGACGGACGGACGGACGGACGGACAACAAAGTGATCCTATAAGGGTTCCGTTTTTTTCTTTTGAGGTACGGAACCCTAAAAAATGTCTAAATATTCAAATTAAAATATGCAGTTATAATAGATATAATAGGTATTGAAATAAAAAATGATTTAA